CCCATTTACATCCAATGGTCTTAATACCATCGAATGAGTCGACCAAAGTCCATACTTTGTTCTCGTACATGGACTGCATCTCAGACTCCATGGCCTGGTGCCATTTCTCGGAATCGGAACTCGTAATATTTCTTTTTAAATTTTAATTTTGAATTTTTTGAATTTAATTTAAAATTTTATTTTTTCAAAATTTTTAATTTTGTAATTTTTATAAATTTTAAATTTTAATTTTTTTAAAATCATAATTATTTTAAATGCATTTAATTTTAATTTTAATTTTTTAATGACGTGGAAAAATGTTTGACATGTGGTGCTGACGTGGAAAATCCGGCGAGCCACGTCAACATCGGTCACCGGAAACTGTTACAAAGTTAACGGTGTTAGTGTCTATGTACTAATTTACCAGAAAATTACGAATTGATGTATTTTGTTGGGAGATTACAAGTTCATGTATTTATGAATAAGAAATTAACAAATTGATGTATTTATTTGCCAGTTTCCCTATATATATACTCATTTATGCATATATATATATAGGTATATGTGTTTATATATATATTCATATTGAGATATGTGTATTTATGTATATACATATATTGAAATATATGTATATGTATATGTATATGTATATATATTTTTTAAATTTTATTGAAGTTAATTTGAAATTTATTTTTATTTTTTAATGACATAAAAAATTTTTGACATATGGCACTGACGTGGAAAATCCGGTGAGCTACATCAGCACCGTTTACCGGAAACCGTTATAGAGTTACCGGTGTTAATGTCTTGTGTACTAATTTGGAAGAAAATTGCGAATTGATGTATTTTTTTTTGGAGATAAAATATACATGTATTTATCAGTAAGAAATTAGCAAATTGATATATTTATTTGGAATTTTTCCTTTATATTATAAACAGTAAAAGATTATTTAACCTTTAATCATTTTCTTTGAGATTATGAAAAATTCTATGGTCACACATACACACACACATATATATATATATATATTTGTACACTAATATATTTTTTAATCTGATTATTTAATAAATTTTAATATAAATGAAATAATAATAATTTTTATAAAAAAAATAGCATATTAATGTTATTAGATATAAATCTTATAATTTAAATTTGTTTATAATCTTATATTTTAAAAGTAATATATTATTTGATATAATTGCCGTTTTCAATGCGATTTTGGATGGTTAGTCCTAATCGATAGATAAGTTTTTATTAGTAAGGATTGCAGGCAGTTGCGGTTACCAAAAACTATATTATCTTAAATGTATTTTTAAAATAGTTATAATTGATTTTTGTTATTGTTTGACCAAAAAACTATCTACTAAATTTATAAATTAATTAAATAGAAAATTTCAACTATAAAATTTATCAATTTAATTTATTTTTAACTAAAAAATTATTCAATAAATATTAAATTTTAAAAGGGTATTTTATGGGTTTTTTAATCAAAGTTAACGCAAGTGTGAAGTTGCGATTAAAAATTATATGTTTTGTTGCAGTTGTGGTTGGTTAAATCGGTTTGTCAATCGGTCATAACCGTCAGAAATCGCAACCATTCCGTTTGCGGGTGATAATGACATAGCAGTCGGCAGTCGACAGTCGGCAGTCGCCCAAATATCTTCAAAAATGTTATGTTTTCAGGGCGACTGGGTGGAAAAAGAAAAAAGAAACTCTCTTTGAAGAGAGTCTCCTAGTTTGTTAAAAACCGAACAAATACAAAACGAAGCATTTTGGATGATAGGGTTAATGTAACCGTAAGCTCTCAAACATTCGATCTCAGTTGGCGCAGACTTGAAAAAGGAGAGGAAAAGGTGATTCAGAGGCGATCTCATCGGCGGAGCGAGCTGGAGTCGAAGGTGAGTGATTCCGATTAGGTCCTTTCTCGGTTGTAATCTCATTTCTATATATGTTGTGGCGAGACACCGAGTTTATGGTAATCCGTAGATCCTTTCTGTTTTCTTTTTTCGCCATTTAGTGGATTGTCGTGATTCCGACCGAGATGTAGGGTCCTCGAGACTTAAAGCGTTAAAACCGCAGAGGATTCGACCACTTACAAAAAGGGGCATTATAATAAATACCCTCCCTCTACTATTTTGACTTCAAAACATATCTTTCTCCAGTTGTTACCCTATGATCCATGTGATCAGAAATATAGTTCGGTCACCTATTGATCACATTGGTTATAATATGTAATTTATACTGTTATTTTTATCAAATGATTAGTGAGATATGTAAGGGGAGAACATAATGAATTAATGTGATGACAATAAATTTAACGTTATGGCCAATGAGATCAACTTGTGACCAGACTATATTTCTGATCACTTGGATCACCAGTGGAAAAAAGTACGTGTTGAAGTCAAAATAGCAAAAAGTGTTTTTTTATATAATGTCTACAAAAAACAATAAGTTAAGAATATATTTTTTTAAGTAAAAGGTTAATTTTATATTATAGGTACTAGAAACATAAATTCGAATATAAAAATATATTAACATTTTAAAAAAATAGTTTTTCCCAGTCTCGCGAAACAAATCATCGATCCTTTTTTTTTCGAGATCAAATTTTCTGAATTCAGCTCAGAAAAATATGGGTTAGTGATATGACCTTCAGGACCTATGTGAGGAAAAGGAAAACGCCAAGGCACGGGACGAAGCAGAAAACGGGAAAGATAACATGATGGAAGGAAGAAACACGGAAGAGGATGAGCTGGCAGCTGACTAAGCGAAAGGCTGGAGACAGAATAATAAGAGGTTATCTCTGATTCTATTTGCTAAGAGTAGAAGATTTGGTTTGATATCTATTTGATAAGAGTAGAAGATTTGGTTTGATATGAAAAGAGTTCGTAGTTAGTTTTCTATTTATAGTTAGATATGGGTTTTTTCAGGTTTTGACTATTGGTTTTCTTATTTGGGAGGGGTGAGAGAAAACTCACAATAATCAATCTCAAGCTTTGTTTGGTTTTTTTTTTCGGATTCAAAAAGAGTGTTTTCAGTTTTCATACCTGAAACTTACCATTTTGGTATCAGAGCGTACCGATCCACCATGACCAAGAACAACAATCAACTCCTGGATATAGGGGTGGGCAAAATTACCCGAAAATCGAGTACCCGTCCCGACCCGAGGGTCGGATACCCGAAAATCGGGTACCCGTTATGTTACAGATAGAGATCGGGTTTTAAAATATGTAAAACCCGAAATTCGGGTTCGGGTTCGGGTTTACACTTTCGGGTCGGGTAATTACCCGTGGGTACCCGAGTAATAAAAAATAAATATTATTTATTTTAAAATTTTAATATTAATAAAAATATTTATGAATTATCTTGAATTTTTATATTTTTATATATATAAAAACTATTATTTTATTATCTAATTATTTTAAATATAAATATTTGAAATTCTTTTCATTAATTTTATGAATTATTTGTATAAAATTTATAAATTTATAATTTTTTTAAAAAAAATAATTAAAAATTTTCGGGTTCGGGTATCCGCGGGTACCCGAAAATTATCTCGCGAGTAATACACTTCGGATACTCGAAAACTCGGGTTCGAGTTCGGGTTTCAAAATGTATTATTTTTCGGGTTCGGGTTCGGGTTCGGGTACCCTAAAAATCCCGGGTACCCGACCCGTGCCCACCCCTACCTGGATATGCTGGAGGAGACGATTGCTGAGAAGTTCTCGGAGATAGAGGCTCTCAGGGAGAAGGATTCTCAAATATTCGAGGTAATTGAAAGCATGCTATCTGATTTTCATGCTTGGATGAAAGGGAAGAACGTGGAATCCAAAGAGGCTTCAGCCTCGGCGGTTACCACTTCACCAGTTTTTCCTTCAAGATCAAATCCGATTTCGGGTGTAGGATCATCGGCTGTCCACCAGCCGCTTGCTGATCATGGGGCCGAAGATAGTCTTCGCCGGTTCACCAACACATGTGACACGCAGGTGAAGAAGATTGACATGCCGATCTTCGAGGGCGATAACGCCACAAGTTGGATCACGCGGGCTGAACACTTCTTTGAACATGGCGGGTGTTCGAAGGAGGAGAAGCTTCGGTTGGTCTCCATCAGTTTGTCGTGGCGTCCCTTATCATGGTACAATTGGCAACGCAGTCAGATTCCGTTTCATAGCTGGGAAGAGTTTAAGGTCCGGTTCCTTGAGCGTTATGGCGATCAACGTGCGGGTTCAGCGCAAAGAACCCCAGCCTCGGCGGTTACCACTTCACCAGTTTTTCCTTCAGGATCAAATTCGATTTCGGGTGTAGGATCACCGGTTGTCCAACAGCCGCTTACTGATCATGGGGCCGACGATAGTCTTCGCCGGTTCACCAACACATGTGAAGGCAGGTGAAGAAGATTGATATGTCGATCTTCGAGGGCGATAACCCCACAAGTTGGATCACGCGGGCTGAAAGTTCTTTGAACATGGCGGGTGTTCGAAGGAGGAGAAGCTTCGGTTGGTCTCCATCAGTTTGTCGTGGCGTCCCTTATCATGGTACAATTGGCAACGCAGTCAGATTCCGTTTCATAGCTGGGAAGAGTTTAAGGTCCGGTTCCTTGAGCGTTATGGCGATCAACGTGCGGGTTCAGCGCAAAGAAGAGTAAAGGGGGAGATCTTCTCACCTTAGGGATGGCTTTGACACGCCAAAGAACTTGACGAAGACGATGCTGATGCAAGAACCAGGCTGCACACATTTCTTCCTCCATGGAGACAGAAGCCATGTCCTCAAAAAACCTATGAGCTTACCCAGAAACAAAGTTGTGGTATACAGTTCTCAAACCTAAACTGGACAAAAAAACCAGGCTAAGATCTTGGAAACAGGGTTTCGACATCTATTAACCAAGATTGTTGACTCTGCCTTCGTCTAAACGCACAAAAGGTAGAACTGTGACCGGAACAACAATTGCAAAGGTATATATACCTTAACCGAAAATCAAAATTGGATAACGAAAATGGAGCACTGGTTAACAAAATAGTTTATGTTTGATTGCTGAATGCGATTCTTGAAACACATAAAATACAATTAAACATGCAGTACCGACGAGAGAAGGTAGTTGCTGGCTCGTGTTCAGGACTCAGCTCAGCCATCATGGGGGGCCTCTGCATCCATACCTTCCTTGGAAGAAGAATTCCGTGAATGCAGACTCTTGAGCTCATCTAACTGCAAGAAATCGTTTAAGAAATAACAAATAAACGTTAAGACGAACGAGTTTGACACAGATAAGTACAGACTGGTAGTATTTGTACAGAACTGAATTTAGAACATTCCACTTCTTGTACTTAAAAGTTTCAACAGATTCTTCACAGTGACGGGTTCGGGTTTTTCAGAATCCTAGCATTCTCAGCGAATCCATTTTCTGCAACTAAAGAAACTGTTGTATTTGTGCCAAACCATTGAAAAACAGGTTCGACCGAGTTCTTCTTCAGTTAGAGAGAATCCATGCTAACCTATTAGATTGTGAAACTTCATCTAATAGGAAATCACTGGAGTGATGTGCAAAATGCAAGTGTTAGGCCTGTATTACATCCAATAAGTACAAGAAAATATAATTACTCCCGCAAGAACTGAAGAGATAGAAACCGAATTCAAACCCGTATAAGAAAATTTTCAGAAGTTCAGACCCATTAGTCTGTCCAACGTTGAATGTTTCTCAATCGTCGGGCAAAGATATCGTCTAATGATCTGATGATGTTAAGTTGAGAAGCAGTAAAGAAAGCGTACCTCTTTGCAGGTTTCGTGGTGTTTGGCCAGAAGCTCATTGTACTTTATCTGTAGATCCGATTTCTCAGCTTGAAGCTTCTCGTAATCGGAGACAGATGGACCGCCCAGCTTTTGTTGAATGAATCTGTGGCAAATTCGAAGAAACAGAAAATGAAAAAATAAAAACGTTATAATCTGAAGAACAGAGACCACAGCTGCGAAGAAATCTCCCAAATCAAAATCAAACAACAAAGAATGCCACATTTTACAGAAACCTAAGAAACATATATATATATATATATACATTGTATATTTTTTTTGCACATCTCAATGTGGACTTGAGAAATGCTAAACATGAAAGCAGATCCAACTAATTGAAAATTCAGATAGGAACTTAACGGCCGTTAAACAGGAAACCTTTAATGTTCAACGACTTTAGAAGATTCCAAGAAAATACGATGCTCATGTGCCAACTGCAAATGCTTGATTTCAAGCTAACATAAATTCAAATCGAAAACCGGACCATAAAGCCAAGAACTTAGTTTTAGGGAGGAAGTTAGATTTGGTTTCAACATTTGACAAAAGGCTGCAACTTCTTGTAGTAAATTCAATGAATAAACTCCAACAAACTGTTTACAAAGCCTAAATCTTCATCAATCAGCAGTTCAACAAAACCCGAATCCAAAATTCTATGCCAAGTTGCCAATGCAAACAAATCTCCATCAGATCTTTGGAAACCAACACAAACACATAGATTCCGGTTGAAACCCTAAATGAGGTGTTAAGAAACTTACTCTAGAGCGGAGGAAGGCTTGTCATGCTGCTCATACAAAGCAACCAGAACTGACACCAAAACACAAAGTGTATCAAGAAGATGCAGAAAAGATCATAAACGGAACAAATTATCATGGAGATAGAAATTAGAAATTACTCGCAGGAACAAGAAAGCATACTTTTGGTGAGAGAATCAAGAACACCACTGGATTCCAAATACTTCCTGAAAGCTTCTTTCTTGGCCTCTTTCTCCTGAATCCCACAGACCCAAAAACAAAATTAGATTAAAAATTATATATATATATATATATATAAGAAATTGAATGCTACAAGTTACTCAAATGGGTATCACCAGATCCAGAAAAGAAGCAAGCTTTGCGTCGAATTTTGACGAAACAAAGTAGAAAGGTGAATAAATTTGATGAAAATAAGTAGAAAAAATGGCGATTTAATGGATATACAATGAGTGCGGATGGAAATTATTACCTCTTTGTACCGCATCATCATCCTTCTTCTTCTTCTTCGGCACTTCTCTCCAGTGTTTTTTTATTTCGATTTAACTGTCCACCTACTGTCTCTTTTCAGCTCCCCGGGAAAAAAATAACGATGTCCGCACCAAAAACATAAACAGAGAATAACGTTTTTGCCCCGTTATATTTTTGTATTTAATAGAATGTCCCAAACGTTTAATATCTGTAAATTGCCTCCCGAAGAAAAATTCCAAAAAACATTTATCGAATTTGGAGATAATTAGGAGATTTATTACCAACTCTAGAAACGCCTATACTTATACCCAATTTTGAACCTTTTTTCTAAAAAAAAATATTCAAAATTTGAAATTTTCGATAAAATCCTTAATGATCCCAATTACTTTTAACACAGCCGAAAAGGCTTACGTAGTTTTTGCTTAGTAGACACATAAAATACACGTTAGATAAATACTAATACATCGCCTTTTCATTAACCAGTCGAATTAGACCCGATTCAATAGAAATTCCAGTTCCATAAAACTAAACCGGCCATAGAGGATTTCGTCAAAAATTCAAATTCTGAATATCTTTTAGAAAAAAGTTTGAAATTGGGTATGAATATGAAAGTTTTTAAAATTGATGAGTTATCTCTAAATTCGATAGCCATAGAAAAAAAACCATAAACGGATGGTAATCGTGATTAAAAAAAAAACAAAATGCACAGCATTTTTTCTATTTATTTTTAAATTTATTTATTTTTTTAAACCTAAAAATCCACATATTTTTTCTTTTTTGGAAAATTGATTATATACAAAAAAAAATGATGATAATAAAGGAGTAGAACAACTAGTCTTTTCAAACAAATCTTCGCTTCAAAAAATATTATCCCATTTGAAAAATAAAACTCTTTTTTTTACCATGATTATTTTCATCAGTTTCATCATTGTTACGTCATTGTTAGGGAAAGTGAAACTTTATAATTTTGAGAAAAAAACATTGAACTTTCTTTTTTGTCAAATAAACATTAAATTTTTTAAACGAATCTAAAAAAACATTGAACTTTTTAAATTATCTAAAAAATACATAGAACTTTTATGCGATTATCAAAAAAACACTGAACATTTTTAGTGATAAAAAAAATACATGAATTTTTTTCGATTGTAAAAAAAACTAAATAAAATAAGCTGACGTGTTTGCATCTCATTGTGACACATCATTCATTTTGTTTATTTTGACAATCTTAAAAGAGTTAAGTGTTTATTTTGTCAAACTTAAAAGGTTTAGTATGTATTTGATAAAATAAAAAGTTTAGTGTTTTTTTTTGTCAAAATTTGGAAGTTCAGTGGTTTTTTGGGATTTTTCTTCATTGTTATTATAAAAAAAATGACATAGTCACTATTATCATCATCTTAACTTTATAACAAACAACCTTATTCTTATTAAGAGATACGGAGAATATGTTTCAAAGTATCAAAAGTGATGAAGAATATTTTAAAATATTTATAGTAATATTTAGATTTGATATTATTTTTATGTTTTAGATATTTTATTTTCAAGAATTTCTACCTATAAATATTACAATGTTTTATGTTGAATGATGAGCCATCTTTTTCTTTTATCTATTAAGTCTCCCTAGAAGAAAACCTAGCACACGCATAAAAAAACCTTTGTGAGATCTTAGTTCCGTCATATTCCAATCCGCAAGTGGATACCACTAGAAGGCGCTGTACCCTTCATCGCCTCGCAATTTGATGAACATGCCGCAATATAATGATGGTTTCAGGATCTTTGCAATTAAGGGATCATGGATTGATATATATATATATATATATATATATATATCTTTCAATTTTTGTGATTCAATATGTCCCTGTCTCTTTTCTTGAGATTAGCATATAACTGGTTACATGTTTAAGGTTCTAGATTTTATGTTTTATTTCGCTACATAGATCCGACACTGCAGGAATCCTAAAGGGATCAATGAATCACATGATAAGTAGAAATCCAACAAGTAAAACAATTATGATCAATATATTCCATTTTATTGACAAAAAAGTGGCAAAGGTGGATATCTTTCCCGTGTGATTGACTTAGTATACATTCGGTCATGGTTTGTATTTTGAACTTGTTACTCTAGTCTTTGGATTTTAATTTTCGATTTTTTTATTTTTGTAGTATTTGTAAATCTAAAAAAATTAGAGATTTTGATTTTTAGTTGTTTTTTATGAAAATAGGTTTCTAAATTAAAAAAAAATAATATTGTAAAGTATAGGATTTTCAAAGATATTCTAGTTTAGAAATCTTTAATCCTCCACCTCTTGGGTTGAGTAATGAAAATCCCAAACTCAGGAAATTGTATATTAGGATAAATATTTATTTTCCTTACTCATTTTCTTTGTGAAAACAAAAAAAAAAAAATCAATCTGCCTTCCTCATTCCATTTTCCAAAAACAAATCAATATTTATAACTTGATGTGCCATCTAAGGGTTAAACCCTGACCTAATACGTCAAGCAAATATTAGCTTTATGGACTTAGGTTAAGAAAAATCTATCGACGAGCATCTTGTATAGAAATTCTTGCTCCATTCCAAATTAATAAGTGAAAATTTATTTTTTTTATAATAATAAATAAAAAGTATAACAAACTTCTGAATAAAACAATGTTTTTTTTTAGAATCTTGAACCATTGATACACGTTTGTTAATGGCATAAATGGATCTTGAGATTGTATCTATGGAATTCGACGTGAACCAAATAGAAACATGACATTACATCCATTAATAAATATATCAACACTTGCGTCAACAACACATTATCGACACATCATCACCTTTTTTAAATAAAATTATTACTAGAAGAGACCCGCGCGATGCGAGGGTTATTATTTTTTATATATTGATTAATATTTGTATAAAATTAATCATATAAATATTGAAAAAATAATATAAATTATTTATTTAATATAAAAAAATTACACCGGTACTGTTAAAATATTAATAAAATTATTATTACTTATTATATAAAATCATCATTATTTTATTATGTAAAAGGATATATGAATTTGCTAGATGTGTCATCAATGTGTTTGCTAGATGTGTACACTTATATAATCTCTATTTGTCTTCCAAGATATCCATATATATAAAAAGTTAAAAAATCGAATATATACATGTATATATATGTATATATATATTAATTAAATTATTTCTCGTTTTGATATTCCATATTTTTATTTGATTTATTAATTAAGTCTATTTTACTATCTACTATTTGATATTTCTATCTAATCAATGCACACATTTAGTTTCGTTTATTTTGGTAGTCGGTTAATTATTTGATTATATATGGTTATTTATTTTTAGGGTTTTATATAGTTATGTTAGGTTTGACAATATATTTTATCAGGAAAAAAAATAAACTAAAAACGCATTATATTATGTAACGACAACTTAATTTTATATAGGAAATATGTAAAATCATAAACACCAATTGATTGGTAAGAAAAATTAAATAGATACGAAGACGATCTATATTTATCTCCCAAGATATCCCACCGACAAATAGTTTACATGAATCCATTTGCATTCTTCATATGATTCCAAGGGAGGAAGTAAATAATATGTTTTAAAATAAGTAGATTTTATGAGAAATAACCGGGACTTAACCGAACCAGTTAGACTCTCGGATTATGTATCAGTTCAAGGTAAGGAACTTCTCGACCTGATGTAACTCTAGGCCATGAGCCAGTTCGTTGAACTGGTCGAACGTGAGTATTCTTCCGCTGCCGAATGATACGTACAAAACTAATCTGAGCTGTTGGGTATCCAGCCATTTTAGATATTTAGACTCATCGGTCTGATTCGTGCTTGATGAACCCATGTTAACCAACGGTCCGACCGAGTAAACTAACGGTCTATCCGGACTGGGTTCTTTCAAGACCTTGATGGCATTTGGCTCTACCTCTACGAAAGTATTCACCAAAATCCCTTCTGTTTCTTTGTATCTCTTGGTATTGTGAAGAAGCCATTTATACGCATCCTCCTTCCGGTCTTATGTCGGGTCGAGGAGAACATTATATTATTATATTAAAAAATCTTTTCTACATATGTGTTGAATAGATTTGTCGACCGTTTGTTCCCAATATCTCAATTAATAAGCATTGTGTTCTTCTATCGCTTATAAATAGTTATAAAATAATAACAAATTGAATAAAAATATTATTCTTAAATAGTGTAGTAGATAGTTATTTTAAAAAAGATTTGTATACTGGAAATTTTTGATGAATTTTAATTATGTATCTATATAAATTTATGTAGATAATGATGTTTGGAATGATAAAACACATGATTCTTAAAAAATGTTATTTAATTTATGTAATATTTATATTATTTTATATATGAATATATTAGCAATCTATATTTTATATGATTTTAATGATTATCATCGATAAATTTTGGGTTTTTATTGCAAAACATCTTTATTAAAATTTCATGAAATTATTTAGATAAAAATTATTGAAAACTTTGTTAGAAACAAAGTCCAAAAATATTTTTAAATTTATCTATATTTCAACTTAAACACTGGTCAAAGAACTTTAAAGAACTTGTAAGACAGGTTAATCCGATAAGAAAACCGATATTAAACGGGAAAAATACCAATCTTGAAGTAATTGAACATCTTCTCAAACGCTGAAGAGAGATTAATGTAGCCTTTATATATCTTGAGATTGATTTTCCTCAAGACTGTTTTTGGGTTGTTGTCATTGTTGATTCTGGGTTTTTGTTTTTGTTCTTCTCAGACATTTTTTTAATATAAAAAGCAAGTCGAATAAAATTTAAATAATTTGTTTTAAAATTTGGTTCATTTTTACCATACTGTTGGATTGATTTTAATGATGATAACTCATGAATCATGACGTAAAAATTTAAAAACACATAATTATATATATTTCTCAATATGTAATTAAATATTTACGTTAAATTTTATTCAATTGACCTTATTTCATCATAATTCCTTCTTATTTTATAGCAAATTTTATATAATCATCATCTTACTTCTTCTCATTTGAATAGTAAAACAGTGAAAATTATTTTAATTAGTGGGTTAATCACAGATTTGCACAAACCCA